CCTCGTATCACTATTCACGTGAAATGATGAAGATACTCTTGGAGTAATATATAACAATAATTCATACATTGTGACATACTTATTTTTGTTTATCTTTACTCTGTTATCATTTTATTATTAGTTAAACATGGTTTAACACAGAGAAAAAAAGACATACATATGATTTTAACCCAAAACCCATTGTGAGTGGAACAAAAAGGCAATGATCCATCCTATTACAAGTTTGTTAATTTTTCTTTTAAGTTTAAATTAATATAGCCGCTTTTAATATGTTTAAATTAAAAAAGTTTTACAAAAATTTGGTTTTGTAATTATTTCTACGGATAAAAAGACATCTTATTTTGACGTTTTATTTTAATTTTTAATTTTTTAATATATTTTAAATATTTATCAATGTTTATTATTTTAATATTATATATTTTATTAAGGTTGAGCCAGAAAGCTTATAATCTAAGTGATTAATACAAGTTATAATATTAATTTTTTATACTTTTTATGTATCTTATGCTATGCTTATATGTCTTATAGTGAAAATTTTATTTTTAATATTTAAACAATTTAAAAATTTTATTTTTGGTTTTATATTGTACCTATAAGTTTTAAAGATTGTACTGCCCCATATATGGGACACTATGTGACAAATGGAACACTATGTGACAATAGCTATTTCTCAATTGCTTACAAAGATTAAAATTTGGAAAAATTACCAATTGTTCTTTGTTGAAAGAGGAATCTTTTCATCTTATAAAAATTGAAATATTCTTTTACTAGGAGAAGCGAAAAGAAAAAATCTTTCACAATGTGCCCCTACCCCCCTGTGCTCTTACCCTACTCAGGAGTCTTAAACGTATGCATTCAAATAGGTAAATTATATTTGTATGAAACAATTAATGATATAACTTTTGTTTATCATATATCGCTAACAAAGTTATGAATCTCCTACATATTTATTTTTTTAATTCATGCAATAATTAAGAAAATGAAAGAATAATTAATAACTGTAATTGAGAAAGTTTATTTTTTACAGTCATTGACCATTTACTGTAATTCATATATTATCCATTAAATAATTATTTTTCATAGATAAAATTACTATTTTGAGATGTTATATTAGGTGTATAATTTTGCTTCCGCCGTTTTTTTTCCGAAATTCGAGGCTTTATTGTAAAAAACTGGTTATACATTTATGATTCAAAGTATTGTCCATCGCTAGCCACTACTTTCTCTCATCTTTCAAGTAGCGTACGAATCCCGCGTCGAAAAAACTGGTCATCTTTTGAGGCTATCCACGAATCGATCCAATTTTTTACTGCTTCATAAGACCGGAAGTGCTGGTCAGCCAGGCCGTGTGCCATTGATCGAAACAAGTGATAGTTAGAGGGAGCAACATCTGGAGAATACGGCGGGTGGGGTAGGACTTCCCATTTCAACGTTTCCAAGTATGTCTTGACCATTTTCGTAACATGGGGTCGAGCATTGTCATGCTGCAAAATCACTTTATCGTGTCTCTCGTTGTATTGCGGCCGTTTGTCTTTCAATGCTCGGCTCAAACGCATCAATTGCGTTCGATACCGATCGCCTGTGATTGTTTCAGTCGGTTTTAACAATTCATAATACACTACGCCGAGCTGGTCCCACCAAATACAGAGCATGACCTTGGAGCCGTGAATATTCGGTTTGGCCGTCGACATGGAAGCATGGCCGGGAACTCCCCATGATTTTCTGCGCTTGGGATTATCATAATGAACCCATTTTTCGTCTCCAGTCACAATGCGATGCAGAAATCCCTTCCGTCTTTGCCTTTCAAGCAGCTGTTCACAAGCAAACAAACGCCGTTCAACATCTCTCGGCTTCAATTCGTACGGCACCCAATTTCCTTGCTTCTGAATCATTCCCATGGCTTTGAGGCGTTTTGAAATGGCTTGTTGAGTCACTCCCAATGATCGTGCCAATTCTTCTTGATTTTGACACGAGTCTTGCTCAAGTAATACCTCCAATTTTGCATCTTCGAAAACTTCTCTCTTCCATTGCTTTGCCGGTCTTCGACGTCAAAATCACCATTCTTGAAGCGTTGAAACCACTCACGTCACGTTCTTTCACTAATAGCGGCCTCACCAGAAGTATTTGAGAGCATTCGATGAGCTTCAGCCGCAGATTTCTTCATATTGAAGCAAAAAATTAAAACCTCCCGCAAATGACGAGAATTTAGCTCGTAAACTGATATTTTCAATCGAGAATAACTTTATGATGCAGACACAAATCGACTAATGTTTCTATGGGGTTATGTTGACAGATGCCCAAGTTTATTGTATGACGTCTATAATCTATTTATTTCGACCACCACTTACCGCTAAAGCCATCTAAGGAAAACGGCGGAAGCAAAGTTGTACACCTTATAATATTGTAGGTTTAATTTTTCATCAAAATGTCTAAAAGTCCTATGAAATACGCTTAAGAGGCACTTAACGATGCCGTTCATAAAGATATAGAACTAAATAAACCGACATGATATATGACGTACCTAACTAAATAAATACTTAAATTTTAAGTGTTAAGAAAAGATGAATCATTGAACATCAAAATAACATTGGATTCTTATCCTATACTTGGAATTTCATTATGATTTAATGAAATTCCATTTAAATTATTTCCTTTTCATTTTTTGAATTTTTTCTTCATTTTGATGGTTCATTTCAGAATGATTCAGAATTGTTAACATCGTCTTTATGTAATTGTTTAATATTCTTTTTTAAACAATTATATAAAGATAGTGTTACATACGTTAAAGAAAATTAATTAACAATTAATCGTTAGTCAAGAATTTAAAATGACAAAATTATATTCGCTTAGAAGAAAATAGTTATTGCGATATAGAATTCTTGTTATTTGAGACTTTGTAAGACTTCATATGAAAAACACGAAATTTCCAGATTCATGTATTTCTTGATTTCAGTCTTCGCAAGTCTGTTATAGAAACTTCTCGATATTTTATGTTACATGCCATTTCGTTATTATTTGCTTAATTGTAAAAATGTGACTTGTCTTGTACTTATCAAAGTCGTAATTATCGATGAAAATTAAAGTTATCTTGGAATTTTATATGTAAAAGTATATGTAAAAGTATTTTACTCATTTCAACAGCTGTCAGACCGTGTGTTTCTGCCCGAATATGGTATAGGATCACTTTACATGTCTTTTATGACTATGACCATTTACTGACTATCAAGAGAGAAAAGTTTTCATCGATTTTCACAAGTGTTTTAAAGTAATCTCGTCATTTCATTTCATCTAAATTGTCTTTATTTAAAAATACATAAATTAACATAAATTAACATGTCATTCTTCGTTTCTGATGTCACGATTCCAACATGGCCGCTACGACTAATCAGCCTTAATATATAGCAACATAACAATTACATTACAGTTTTATAACAATAACACAGCAAATTATTATTGAAATTGTTATATGACAATATATTATATATTTATGTTTAGGATATTTCTGATTTATGAGATCATTTATTCTTGTAAACAGATAGAGCGGACTGAATGAATTAGGAAGTCTTTTATCATTTTATAATTTTTTTATAATTTTTTCAATATTTTAGGAGATATTAATTTTTAAATATCACTGAATAAGCACGTATCAATGCAGACTATCACAAGTATACGCCCATTGGTAATCGCGCTTGTAAATGGTAAAGGAATTTTCGATTCAGTTTGGTTTGCTGTGCCAGCTCATAAAAGGCGATCCCGAGGATTAGATTGAGGACATCCTGTATAATTATATACAATTTTATATAATTTTATGTAACTAATATGAAATTACATAATTTTGTAAAACTTTTCTTCTCCCGGGCGGTGAAATAAAATAATCTTATACAAAATTAGAGAAGAAAGATATAATTTATAATAAAATAATAAAAAATTAAATTGATATAAAATAAATATGATATAAAATAAAATGTAAAATGTATCTTATGTATTTAAAACTTAAAAGATACCATACCAAAAAATAACTATAGATACAAGTATCTCCGCCTGTAAGAATCTAGGTAATGCACATAGGTACAGCTAAAGTATCTATTGTAGATACGTTCCAATACTGATAATAATAATACTCTGTTAAGTTAATAAATAATTGTGTCTACTTACGGCATGACGGATGGCATGAAAAGAATCTGCTCGAGAATAGTTTTGATATCAATTGTATAATAATTTGTCATTTTTTGCAAGATCAAATCTAAGAAATTTAATTTTTCATCTCTTATCACTATTGTAAAATTTAATCTGAAATGAAATTTATTAAATATATTTGGTGAAATATCAATGTTTTGTTTCT